TGGAGGAGGAGAGGGAGTGTGAGAACAGAGTCGCTACTGCCCACAGAACTCACGATCTAGCAATCCGCTCAAGTGCCTCAATCTCTTCGTCGATTGAGTCTGGACGGTTTGCGATAGAGGCCAACGCCGCCAACTCGACGTCTATGTCGGGTTCCTCCTGGCTATCGGAGTCGATCGTGAGCGGGTCACCATCAGGAGGGTGCTCGATGCAGCCCAGGACGATGGGCACGTCGCTATGCTCCGCTGCGCAGCAGGCAAAGTACCACGGGTTGACGGCCAGGTCAAGGGAGCAGTCGATGATGATAGATTGCATCCTGTTGTGACCGATGCAAAACTCACGGCGGCTGGATACGCTGACGCACTTCGCATTGGAATAGAATGGCTTATGTACTGCGAAGCTCATGCGCTCCATGTCTGCATTCACGACAGTGTTGCAGGCGTAACAAACCCACTGCGCCTCGCACACAGATGTGTCGCCCAGCCGAAAGAAAGGGGACCACCTCATGCGGCGGTCGTCGGGCACCTCAACAACACGTCCATCGTCGGTAGTGACCCTTCGGGGACAACACAATGGAACAACGCTCAGCGGGGCAGGAAATTGTGGTGGGTGATCATCGTCGGCCTCGGGGTATTCACGATCGATCGCTTCGACGTCGATGCCAAGATCACTCAATTGAAGACCAATGTGTTCGGGCGTGCCGATGTCCGCTCTGCACACAGGGCACGTTGCAGAGTCGAGGGGGCTGCGGCGGCCGCGAGTTACCCACAGAGCCAAGCATTGGCCATGCATCCCATGGCCGCACTGTGGTATACAAGTCCGCGGTGCTAGAAGCTCTGAAGGACGGACGAGTGCCTCAGAGCAAATGCAACACTCCATGGGGCCAAAACGGCTGCGGGAGGCAGGGGAGGAGTGGGAGGCAAGGAGGCTTGGAATTTGTCTTAGGGGGCCGCAGCGAGCAGGGATGTTTCAGGGGCGGCGGCCAGGGGGCTCAGGAGGCTAAAGGGTCACAGGGCCTTCACGGACGCAGGGAGGGGATAGCCAGTGAGGGGGGGGGGCTTTGTAGAGGAGACACCACGTGGGGCGGAGCCATTGGACTCCCGCCTCCCCCCTCCCCCCATCTTTGCTGGAAGAGTGGGCCAGGGACGATGCAGTGGGAGCCGCATTGAGGAGGAGAGCGTGAGAGGACGGGGAGGATCCCGATTGAGGCGAGCCCCAGAGGCGGAGGAGGGGCAGCAACAGCAGCAACGCGAGCATCACCTGTGACCTCAGTGCCTGGTGCTGAAGTGCAGTCGTCGGTCCAGGTGAGGCATTATTCGGGTTTCGTCTTGGGCCGTCTTGACGCCGCGCTGATGCTCTCGTTGGTCTCTCGTGGTCCCGTATGTGTGCGCGCGCGTGTGTGCGTGTGTCGGGTGTTTTTTAGGGCTGACCGTGGCGCTCTCTGGGGCCGCTCAGAAGTCATCTTGGGCCGTCTTGGTAGCTGCCCCGCGCAGACGGCTGATCATCGATGGGGGGGGGAAATATACCACTAGACGGTTGGCCCCAGCACGGAGGGGGGCAAATGTACCACTAGACGGTTGGCCGTCGGCGACGTGGGCTTCTCAGGGGGGCAGCAGTGCTGGGCCAGCTTTGGGCGTTCATTCATTCAATCCCACTCCCCTCCTTCATCCACTCTTCCTGTTTCCTCTCCCTTCGCTCCTCCTCCATCATGCTCCACGTCAGTCTCAGCTCTACCATTATCATCGTGCACGTCCTCTCTGCGTGGCTGCATGTCACTCTGCGGCTCCGCGTTGCACGATGATGTCAATGCGATTGGTTTTTGCCGATGATCGCTATCATGGTGATGCCTCGTGACGATGGCGATGGCGATGCTGGCGATGACGATGATAACGATGACGGTGATGATCATGCTCATGATTGCATGCGATGCTGATTGCACTGCTGATGTCAATGCAAGCGCTGGAGCGGGCAAACGGGCTGTCGAATGCTGACTGCTGAGGGGTGCTGTCGAATGGGCCTGCAGCACAAGACCTCGCAAGACACGGGCAAACGGGTCGCTACACTAACTTTTGAGTGTCAGCTGATGCTTGCAAATCTGAAGGCAAACGTTCCACATTTTGGAAACCTCATCCTTGTCGCAGTTCGTCCAGGACATCTGAACGCCGTTCTGAGAATTCGTCGTCTGCTCCGAACCCTCTGGCAATCCAAGAACATTGGTCACGTAGAAGGCTCTCTCAGGCTTGACCTTTTCCCCAGTGCCCTTGGCCAGGATGACCTGAATTTTGCTGGGCGAAGCGCTATCTGTCATGCTGTCGTGGTCGCTCTGGGTGTTCGGGTCGATCGTGTAGGTTTTTTTTGCCGCTTTGCAGGGTAATGAAGTCTGCTGCCGATTCTGGGAGAAGTGCAAACCCTGCTTTCACGATCTCGTCCACGCTGGTCGCGTCGTCGACCACCGCGTCTGGCTCACATTCCTCTTCATCACCCTCCTCTGCCTCATCTGCGCCACCATCCTCTTCAGCACCTGCTGGAACCGCAGCTGCCTTAGCCTTGGCTTTGCCTTTCTTTTTTTTTACTGCCGCTGCTGGTTTCCCCTTGGTCGCTGCAGGCCTCTTCTTGCCGCTCGCCTTTGTCTTCGCAACCTTGGGAATGGTCAACTTCGCGCCCGTCTCGTCGATGTGTATCGAAGGGATCTCCGTCTCCAAAGTGATGCCCTCCTCGCCGTTATGTTTGAAGTGTGCGATGGCGAACCCGTTGCCGCCGTCGGTAAATTTCGATGCTTCGACCCTACCTCCGTCCGAGAGCAACGCGTACGCCTTCATCTCTCCCCCAGCTGGCTCGACGTACTTGAAAATGATGGTGGCGGGCTCATCGGGATGATCACCATCATCATCATCATCATCATCACCCTCGGGCCCGCGGAAAGCAAACAATGGATGTGGTGCTTGTCGGTGATCTTCTTTTCCATCTGGTTTCACTGGAACGATGTTTTCATATATATCACGAATCCACTTCGGATGGGCCTTTCCGTACTTCTCTCCCTCCAGCTTCTGGAATTGGCTATGCTTTTCACGAATGTGGCTCATCATCACCCTAAGCTTGTAGGCCATGAGGTCCAACGAGCTGTTGATGTCCGTGCACGTGTGTAGAGCTCCCCAGTCTGTTATCTCTTCCCTCCGATGGGCCCATACGTCCTCCAGACCCTTTTTGATGTCACCCTGACGGAAGAAACCCCCTCTCACGTCGACAAGAATAAGACGAGCAATTGGCGTTTTCTGTTTCTCTAAGGCTCCCATGTCAATACCTACCTTCATGTCTGTGCTGGGGTAATCAATCAGCGGCCCATCTCTGTCTCGAAACATTTCGAAATCAGCTCTGGCGCATTCTCGGCATGAAACGAACAATTGCGAAATTGTTTGGGTGGTGTCGACATCGTGACGTGAAACTTCAAAAATGTGCCGAACGGCTACGGACAATCAACGGTCTGCCACATCCTGTGCGCAGAGTCTCATCAAGTCGGTTCCGTCCGCAACATCATGGCAAGGCGACGAACAAACTCCCCTCACCCCCTACCCCGCTCTCGAAACTCAATGGGGGGCCCCGTTCTCGAATCCCGTGGAGGTTCCTCGATCTCGAAGTCCTTGGGGGGGTCCCCGATCTCGAACCCCTTGGGGGTTCCTCGATCTCGAACTCCTTAGGGGTTCCCGTTCTCGAATCCCGTGGGGATTCCTCGATCTCGAGCCAACTAGGGTTTCATTGAGTAGCCTGGGCAGAATGGGCGCTAAGGTCAGAGCTGCATTATTGCCCGAGGAGGAAGAGGAGGATGATAGGGAAGAGGAGGAGGAGGAGGAGGAGGAGGAGGAGGAGGAGGAGGAGGAGGAGGAGAGGAGGAGGAGGAGGAGGAGGAGAGGACGAGGAGGAGGAGGAGGAAGAGGAGGAGAAGGAGGAGGAGGAGGAGGAGGACAAGGACGAGGAGGCGGAGGGGGAGAGATAAGTTTTTGTTTTAAGATTTTTTTTTGCCCTTTCGCTCAGCGCAGCAACGAGGCATCACGAAAGGCACCCAAAAACGCAAAACCGATCCAAGGTGCGCACCATGGGGGAAGCAAGGCGCAGGGCGCGTACGCCACTACGCACCCAGGGGCACGAGCTTACACGCAAGGGGCACGGGGACGCGCAGCCTAAGCGCACTCGCCACCGATGGCAGGGCGCTTGGAACCTACCCTGCAACAGTGCGCACCGCGATGGCCAAGACCTATATACACTATGCACGCTCCAGCGAAAATCAAGAAATGCTGCACTAGTGCACAACCTCTAAAAATTTAAGAGGATTTGCAGCATATTCCACAACCTCTAAAATTTAAGAGTAACCTCTAAAATTTTGGAGGATCCTCTTAAGTTTAAGAGAAATGATGCGCTGGGCCCATTCCTGGCTCCAAGGGTCCCAGCTCCCGGCTTCAAATTCCCGATTCCCATCTCCCGGTTCCCGGTTCCCGGTTCCTGGTTCCCGGTTCCCGGCTCCCGGTTCCCAACTCCCGGTTCCCGGTTCCCGGTTCCCGGCTCCTGGTTCTCAATTCCTGGGTCCCGGTTCCCAGTTCGCGGTTCCCGGTTCCTTTTCACTATTGCTCCATAGGGCACACACACACACACACACGCATGCACAAACGACAGACACATTGAAGATATGACACAAAGAACATACGCACCTGATATGACAGGCTTCGGTAACATTTCAATCGTTTCCATGATCAGGGATCGCCCGAATCAAACCTAAATCTGGCGGTTTCCTTATGTGCTCGCTTTACTGTGGAGGTTGCCGAAGATTTCTGGATGGTGCGTGGGAATGAACGCAGGAGGGTTGGAGGGGGGAGCATGAAGAAAACGACAAACACTTCGAAACAAGAGAAGCACTTGAGCAAAGTAAGAAACGGACGATATGCAAGAGGGATCGTGATGGAATGGAACGCCACACGATAAATGAATGAACAAGTATTGCAAGTGCAAGCGCCTTGCCGCCGGCTGCAGCTGATGACTGCTTCTTCAACGGCATAAAGGTGTGGAAGCGTATCTGCGCGGACCCACGGTCTTCCCGTGAGTCACGTGGCTCCCCCTCCTCCTCCCCTTTCAGCTGGCCTTCCTGTCTGTTTGAGCCTGCCTGCCAACCCTCTGCTTGAGCCTGCCCACCTTGCTTGCCTGCCTGCCTGCCTGCCTTAGAGCTTGTCCACCCTGCTTGGTCAACATCCCTACTAGCCAAGGTCAAAAACGTACGGAAAGCCATGTTCATGATGCTACCGCCGCATGCGTGCTCGTACCATGCGCGACTTGCCTTCGAAGCTTCCCAGCCTGCTTCGTTTGCTCGTCCTGCGCATCATGCCCTGACTGCTCCCTCGGCGCCACCTACACCTCATCCACCTCGATCTCCTCCATCTTCTCGTCTAAGTAAAAAGGATTATCCCGGCAAAGCAACCTAACAGCGATGTGTAGAAGCATATCTGAAAGCATTCCCCTTAAGATTCAGATGAAAATCCAGTTGTCGAATTCTGCTGTTCTCGCAGTCGTAGTCGCATTCGCGATGACAGTCGCAGCGGCAACGGCAGTCGCAGTCACAGCCTCAGCCTCAGCCTGCCTCCTCCTCCTCCTCTTTCTCCTGCTCCTCCTCCTCCTCCTCCTCCTCCTCCTCCTCCTCCTCCTCCTCCTCTTCCTCCTGCTCGTCCTCGTTCTCGTCCTCCTCGTCTTGCTCGTCCTCCTCCTCCTGGTGCTCTCTCCTCCTCCTCCTCCTCCTCCTCCTCCTCCTCCTCCTCCTCCTCCTGGTGGTCCTCGTTCTCCTCCTCCTGGTGCTCTCCCCCCCCCTCCTCCTCCTCGTCCTCCTCCTCCTCCTCCTCCTCGTCCTCCTCCTCCTCCTCCTCCTCCTCCTCCTCCTCCTCCTCCTCCTGGTAGTCCTCCCCCTCCCCTCCTCCTCCTCCTCCTCCTCCTCTTCCTGGTCGTCCTCGTTCTCGTCCTCCTCGTCTTGCTCGTCCTCCTCCTCCTGGTGTTCTCTCCTCCTCCTCCTCCTCCTCCTCCTCCTCCTCCTCCTCCTCCTCCCTCCTCCTCCTCCTGGTACTCCTCCCTCCCCCCCCCCCTCCTCCTCCTCCTCGTCCTCGTCCTCCTCCTCCTCCTCCTCCTCCTCCTCCTCCTCTTCCTCCTCCTCGGCTGAGAAGAGAAGAAAGCGGGCAAGACGCGAGCAAGGGACAAGAGAGGGCGGACAAGAAACGAAGGGGAGAGAAATGGGAGCGTCCGTCCACACAGCCGGCGCCACTCAGGACACGCTCCGCGTTTCCCTGCGGAGTCTACATCTGTCACCCCAAATTAATTAAGCACGAAGGGCCAACGAAGGCGGGCCGACAAGCAGGACGACGAGGGGAGCCAGCGAGGGCAAGCCAAGGAGCAGGGAGAGGGAGGAAGGGAGAGAGGGAGGGAGGGAGGGAGAACGAGGACGACGACGACCAGGCCGAGGGACGCGAGGAGGGGGAAGCAGGGAGACAAGGGAGCCGAGAGAGACACACACCACCAAGAAAGGGCAAGGCACAGAAGGAGGACGAGGGGGGGAGAGGAGCAAGCCGAGGAAGGCAAGGGAGCCAAGCAAGGAAAGGAAGGAGGCACACGGGCCGGGCCACGGGCCGAGACGACCCCCGGGGGGAGCCGAGGAGACGGCCAAACCCGGGGGGGAGAGGGGGACCCTCGGAGACCGGCTGCGGAGACAGCGGGGGCCGAGGGGGGGAGGCGGGCGGAGGAAAGAGGGGCAGGCGGGGTACGCCACGCACGGTATGGGCTAGTGAGGCCTCTGCCAGGGGCGCGGGAGGCCGGCCGCGCCGGAGAGCAGCTGCGCGGCTACCCCGCGCTGCAGGGCCGCGGCCAAGCTCTGGCGCAGGTCGGCCAGCGCCTCCGCGCGCCGGAGGCCTCCGGGCGCCGCAGCCTTGGCCCAGCGGCGGAACTCCGAGCCCCACCGCCCGCCCGTCTCGAGCGCAGCGGCCAGCAGTCCGCCTCCCGGGTAGCGTTGGTGTTTTGTTCGCTCCCGATCGGCGGCCGCCTGGCCGTCGCGCCGAGACCTGGCCGCTGCCAAGCCCGGGTCTGGTGTGGTGACCTCGACCACGCTCACGTCGATGGCGAGGGGGCCGGAGCTGACGGGGTCGTGCGGCAACACCACGTCGAGGACTGCCCTCTCCATGGTGCCGTCTGCGCGCACGCGGTCCCATCTTGGGCACGCTTGCTCGGTGAGTGCCTCTTCCTCTCCCCACTCTCGCTTGCACCAGGCTGCCAGCGCCTCTTCCTCCTCCTCCTCATCCTCCTCCTCCTCCTCCTCCTGGTACTCCTCCCCCTCCCCTCCTCCTCCTCCTCCTCCTCCTCTTCCTGGTCGTCCTCCTCCTCCTGGTCGTCCTCCTCCTCCTGCTCGTCCTCCTCCTCCTCCTGCTCGTCCTCCTCCTCCTGCTCGTCCTCCTCCTCCTCCTGCTCGTCCTTCTTCTCCTGCTCCTCCTGCTCCTCGTCCTGCTCCTGCTCGTCCTCGTCCTCCTGGTCTTGCTCGTCCTCCTCCTCGTCGTGCTCTTGCCCCTGCTGAAAATGTGGCCCAGGAATGGGAGTTCTGGGAAGTCGAAGAGCACGAAGTTGCCTACAGTTGGCTACGGGCATTCAAAATGTGGCCCGGGAATGGAGTTCTGGGAACTCGAAGAGCACGAAGTGGCCTACAGTTGGCTCCGGGCTTCAAAATGTGGCCCAGGAATGGAGTTCTGGGAACTCGAAGACCACGAAGTGGCCTACAGTTGGCTCCGGGCATCCAAAATGTGGCCCGGGAATGGAGTTCTGGGAACTCGAAGAGCACGAAGTGTGTGACTGTTGCATCCGGTTATTCAAATGTGGCCCGGGAATGGCGTTCTGGGATGTCGAAGAGCACGAAGTGTGTGACTGTTGCATCCGGTTATTCAAATGTGGCCCGGGAATGGCGTTCTGGGATCTCGAAGAGCACTTTGTGTGTGACTGTTGCATCCGGGTATTCAGAATGTGGCCTGGGAATGGAGTTCTGGGAAGTCGAAGAGCACGAAGTGTGTGACTGTTGGTGAAAAACGAGCCCGGCACCTGCCGCCCGGCAACTCCCAACACCTGCCCGGACCCCCCTGTGGAGTGATCTGCTGCTCTCTTTTGATCCCACTAGAAACCTATCAGTCTTCGCTGTTAGGTAATGAAGGGAGGATGTGGGTGAGAGGGGGCAGGGAGGGAGGGAGGGGGGGAAGCGGAGGAGGGCAGGGGGAGGGAGTGAATGGAGGAGCAGCAGCTAAAACTCTGGACGACAACTGGAAAGAAAAGGAGGTCGGGGGGACACGGAGGCCGGCAAGGGGCACGGGAGGCGCAAGAGGAAAGCGGAGGAAGACGGTGAAGGACTGCGGAGGAAGGGAGAGGAGCACGGAAGGAAGAACAGCGGGAGGGAGGGTCAGCCGGTCAGCCCCTGCAGGGAAACCGGCCGCCGAACCGCGCGAGCGGGGCGGGCCTCGTGCCCCTCGCCCAGCGCCCGCACGTGCGTGAAGTGGCGCGAGACGTTCGTCGAGACTGGCCGGTGCCTGGCCGGGGGGGAGCGGGGAAGGTCCTCCGCCTCCGCCTCCTCCTCCTCCTCCTCCGCCTCCTCCTCCGCCTCCTCCTCCTGCACCTCGGGCTCGGGTTGTCGGCCATCGGTGTTCTGTACATCGCCTTCTCCTCCTGCTCTTACCTTCGTTCCGACGTGCATTCCCCCTGCATTGGTTTGTTTCGCGCGTGCTTCGTTCTCGAAATATTCCAAGCTGCTCCAAAATGGTCCAGGCTTTCTGGCGTCGGCCTGGCCCCAGAGAAATGCACACGCCCGAGCGATGCTAAATCCTCTTCCTCCTCCTCCTCCAACTCTTCCTCCCTCCTGTTCTTACCGCCAATCCTTCCTTCCCCCATCCACCCCTGGATCCCTCTGACGCAGCGTGAACGCCAACGGAACGTTTGCACCGCTGCACAGCGATGAGTGGCGCTGCCCTTTGATGGAGCCCGACCACTTTCGCCCCCACATTTGCCGATCAACAGGGAAAACAACTCAATCGGGTTCAGTCACTGACCGCTGGAGGCATCGCCGACGCGAATGTCAGCGGTGCGGAGTCGTTGCGCCAGGATGTCCCGCTCCTTTTGAACGCATTGATTTATACGCGGCCATAACGGGCGTGATAGGGGGGGGGCGGGAGGGGGGCATAACGTCACGCCACACCCTTCCCCCGTGTGGCTCACGCACCACAGCGCCTGTATGCATCACAGCAATCACCACTGTGCACAGCACAGTATGCACTGCCGCAGCCGCGTGCACCACATCGCCGATGTACTGCGCAGCGCCTACGTACAGCAACACAGTTTGTTTCCCCCACGCCCTCCTTCGAGCATTCAAATGTGCTGATGTTTGCTGAACGACGCGGGCGCACGAACGCCAGACGACGACGACAAAGAGGACGACGACGACGACGACGACCACGACGAGCACGGGGACGCGGACACGGACGTGGACGCGGACGGGGACGGGAACAGGGACGACGACGACGACGACGACGAAGACGAGAACGAGGACGACGACGACGAGGACGACGAGTACGGAGACGGGGACGCGGACGGGGACGAAGATGGGGACGGGGACGGGGACAAGAACGACGACGACGACGACGACGAGGAGGCCGACGAGGATGACGATGACGATGACGACGACGACGACGGAAGCCTCTGAAGATCTCCAGAGGTCTCTGGAGGCCTAAGGAGGTTTCCAAAAGCCCAAAGGAGGCTTTCAGAAACCTCTGGAGGCGTCTGGACGCCCTTCCAGGCCCTCGACGACGACGACGAGGATGACGAGGAAGACGACGACGAGGACGACGACGAGGACGAGGACGACGAGGACGACGACGACGACGGACGCAACTTAAAATTCCTTGTAAGTCTCTGGAGGCCCAAGGAAATCTCAGGAGACCTCTGAGGGCATCTGGAGGCCCTTCGAGGCCCTCGGCGACAACGACGACGAGGACGACGAACGCCACGAGGACGAGGAAGACGAGGACGAGGACACGAGAACGACAGGGAGGATGACCAGGACAGGAACGGGGACGGGGACGAGGACGACGAGGACGACGACTTAAGCGACGACCGCGATCACGACGACGCCGAGGACGGCGACGGCAACGACGACGACGACGACGTCGGCAACATCGATGACGACGACGACGACGACGAAGGGGACGAGGTCGAGGAGGATGAGGAGGACGAGGAGGACGAGGAGGACGAGGACGACGTCGACGACGACGACGACCACGACGACGACGACGACGACGACGACGACAACGACGACGACGACGACGGCGGCGGCTGCCTCTGAAGGTATACATACGTCCCCCGAGGCCTCAGGAGATCTCTGCATGCATCTGGAAACGTCAGCTGAACCTGCATCGCCCTCGGACACGACAACGAACGTTAAAGTAGCCTACAAGCACCACAGTAGCGTGCAAGCATCACAACTGCAGCGCCGGAGGAGCACAACGGGGGGGATGGGAGGGAGCGTTGCGTTATGGGCCGTTATGGAGGGGGAGGGGGGCATAACGATGGGTTTAGGGTTTAGGGTCTCGCGCATAGCACGCCCTTTCGGTCTGAAGCCGACCTTGCGCCAGGTTCGAGAGAACGCGCGCGCCCCAAGAGCCCGCAAGCTGTGGTCCTGGGCACGAGTCGGCTAACTCAGCAGGAACCACGCTCCCCCCCCCTCTCACACCACACACAACACACCACCTGCCCCCCAGTCAGTGGAAAAGAATGGGCAACGCGCACCTTGGCGCCAGATCGGGAAATAGAGCCTCGCGTGCGCCAGAACCGCAAGTTGCAGCACCAGCGGCGTGGGCCTCTCCAGGCAGGCAGCCGAAAGCTTTTCCGTATATATGTTTGCCCAAGTTTTTGCGCCGGACTGGCAGGCGCCAGGGTCACCCGCGTATGCACGTCACGCTCAACTGGGTAGGTGATGGTGGCTCCGACGGCCTAGCACCAGGCGAATCGAGATAGTGAGAACAAAGGTTCTGACCTCTTACCTTCAACATTCAAGGAGGGGGAACTAGCTGAAGCCGGCCCAGGGGCACCCGAGCCGGCCCCCAACCCGTCACGCAGGGGGACCTCCAGGCTTTGGGGTTCACACCTGCCGGGCCACTCGCGCCTCCAAAGCACGCGGCCTCCCTTCGGAGCACGCCTCCCTCCCGCATCGCTCCTCTCACCCTCCATTGTCGGTGGCAGGCGCCTGGCGTCGAAGGACACCTCGCCGATCAGCGGGCTACCCTTCTCGAGGTGCTCGCGGGAGCGCGCGCGCGGAAGCAAGCAGACTGGGACGCGAGCCAGAGCCACAGCCGCGGGCACACATGCCCGGAGGGAGGAGGGTGAGAGGAGGGGAGGAGGCAGGGGGCAGGAGGATGATGAGGAAAAGAAACGAAGGAAGGACGGGAGGAAGGGGGGAGATCAATGCAGCAAGGGAGCAGGGGAGAGGAGGGCGGGAGGGGAGGACGAATGACGGACTACGTGGGGATGTGGGTGCTGTTTGGGGACTCATGTTTTCTCGGGCGGCAAGCCCAGGAAGGGTAAGCGAGACGGGGCAGGCCTTCTCAGAAGGCGGCAAGGCTTCTCAGAAACACTCCTGCCTTCTGAGAAGCTTGACAAGCCTTCCGCAATGACAGGAAGGGCTTCTCGTTTGGCCTAAGGTCTTCTGAGAAGCAGAGGTCCTCTGAGAAGCCCCACCGTCTTCTGAGAAGGCCTGCCCCTTCTCCCTTCCCCCGCACCCTGGGCTCGCCGCCGACTTCTGGCCTAGGGAGAGAGGGGGGGCAGGGGAAGAGGCGAAGGAGGATGAGGAGGGGATAGTGAGAGGGAGGGAGGCAGGATGGAGAGGGGGGTGGAGAAGACGGAGGCGACGAGGAAGGGGAGAGGCGGGCCTGCGCGAGAGGGGGGAGAGGGAGGCGCGGGCCCGCAGGAGGAGGAGGGCGGGGAAGACGACGAGGAACGCTGTGGCTCTCACTGCGCCCTAATAGGGGTCCTGGGTTGCCTCGTGAGGGGGGCCTGCTGGGAGGGATTCGGCGGAGGGGGGCCCACGACGAACGGACGAGGGAGAGGTGAGGACGCGGGAAAGCATGGATGGAGGGAGGGATAGAACTCGGGGACGAGAACAAAAAGGGGGCCAACGAAAGAACCAACCTCGGAGTTCCGCTGAGCCGACCGTCACACGAGCTTTCACTTTGCTAGCCTAGTCGGACTAGGGCTCTAGCTGAGATTGTCCTGATACTATGTCGCCTCGTGTCGAGGGCCAGGAGGAGGAGGAGGAGCAGGAGGAAGAGTTGGAGGACAAGTGCTTTGGCCGACGTGGTCCCAAGGGATCCCAAATAGGACGGACACAATGGGGTCGGGGTCGCATGCCTAAGGCAGCCCACATAACATACCCAGACGCTTACACCCAAGCTGCTACTGATGTCTAAGGATGAGCTCGGGCCATGTTAGCTTCTCAATCTGCCGGAGTTATAGGCCGCCGGTCCTCCCCCGAAGCAAAAGAAAAAAATCCTTCCCCGTCTCCAGAAAGACGAGGCGACGGTAAACCGGCGTCCTATCACTGTGGTACCATGATGGCCCCACACGCTCGAAACGATCAAATTATCAGGGTGGAGTCAGAACAACACATGCCCTGCGATACGAGAACCATTGATCAAAGGTAGGTATGGCGAAGCATGGCGAGAGATGACCCGTTGAACCACTGCTTGACAAAATCTCTGGAGTAGTGTGAAGGGGGTCAGGGGCTAGCCGACAACGCACACGTGGGACAATAGCCTACCTATACAACCACCCTTCGGGTGGTAAGGAGGGTCGCGGGGGAGAAGAATCAACGCCTCACTCAATCGATCTCACTACCGATCCTACGATCGATCTCACTATCCATCTGACTATCGATATCACTACCGATCGAACAACCGAACTCAATATCGACATCACAATCAATGTCACAATTCTAACTATCGATATCAATATCGATGTCATGATCGATCTAACGATCCGTCTCACCATCGATCTCACTATCGATATCACTATTGATCACGCTATCGATATCACAATCGATATTACTATCGATCACACTATCGATATCACTATCGACGTCACCATCGATATCAAGATCAATAGCATGATCGATCTCACGACCAATCTCATTATCCCTCTCACTATCGATCTCACTATCGATCTCGCGGTTCCTCTCCCGTTCGATCTCACTATCGATCTCACTACCGACCTCACTATCGATCTCATTATCGATCTCAAGATCGAACTCATTATCTATATCGCTATCCTTCTCGATACCCCTCTCACTATCGATCCCACTATCCCTGTCACTATCTCTGACCCGTTTGATCTAACTATCGATCTCACTATCGATCTTAATACCGGTCTCACTATCGGTCCCACTATCGAATTCACTATCCGTCTATCTATCAGTATCACTATCGATCTCACGATCGATCTAACTATCGATGTCACTGTCGATACCACTATCGATCTCTCTGTCGAGTTCACTATCGATCTGACGATCGGTCTCACTATCGAACTCTCCATCGAACTCGCTATCGATCTCACTATCGATCTCACGATCGATCTCACTGCCGATCTCACGGTTACTTTCACTATCGACTTCAATATCGAACTCACTATCGATCTCACGGGACACTGCGGGACATCACTGGACACCGCGGAACACCGCGGGACACCGCGGGGCACCGCGGGACACCATCGGGACACCACGGTGAGACACTGCGGGACACAGCGAGACACCACGGGACACCATCGGGAAACCACGGCGGGACAACGACGGGACACCGACGAAAAATCGGCGGGGCACCGACCGACGGGACACCGATGGACAGCGACGGGACAGCGACGGGACAGCGACGGGGCAGCGACGGGACGCCGACGGGACACTGGCGGGGCACCGACGGGACACCGACGGGACGGCGGCGGGAAAGCGACGGGACAGCAACGGGACAGCGACGGGACAACGACGGGACAACGACGGGACACCGAAGAGACGACGACTGGACAGCGACGGGACACCGACCAGCCACCAACGGGACAACGCCACTGGAGAGGGAGGAAGGCCAGTCAACGGCTCTCGCTCGGCCCCAGCCACAGCAGAGTCATTACTCACACCCGCCCACGCAACTTCGCCTCGCCCGCACGCGCGACACGAACCTGAAACCGAAACCGATTTCCCGGTGTGGGGTTCTCCCATCATCCACTCTAATCTGACCCCCCCACCTCCGATGATGGGATGATTAACCTGGCTCCAACAACAGGTTTATGAATACACATACGTACATAGTTCTGAACACACATCGTTCGAAGATCCAACGTCGAAGCGTCATAGTTTGAGAAGGAGTCGCGCCTGCCGCTGGGCCGAGGGCAGCTCGATGCGGTGCCCACTGGCAATGCAGGGGGGAGTGGGACTGGCAACGTGCTGACAGACAGAACGGGAGCGGACACATGCGCGGGCACAACTGTACACACAACTGTGAAGCCAACACACGGACATGCGCTTGCACTGGCAACGATTAGTCCGACGTTCGAAAATGCAATCAGAGATGGTCACACAAGCGCCGCCAAACTGACGCAATATGCACAAATGGAACGGACGGGTGCAACGGCGTGATGGAACACGCTGCTGTGAAGGGGAGCGCACTGCACGGCTCACACGCCTGCGGAAAGCCAGGTTCGCCAAACATGTGTCCTGCTGCAAGGGCAACCGAGGTCACCCACATGAGCCACACATGGGCAACCACTGGGAAGAACACGCAACACGAGAGATCACGCATTACTGGACACAGTATTTCACCTGAACACACCGCGGCTGCTTTTACTTTGGCATGGGGCAGCAACAGTGTGGGCTCCGTTGCCCCCTCCTCGTCCTACTACCACGCAGCGGCCTGAGGATCCCAGAGCGGAGCTCCTCGAGCAACGAGATCGTGAGCTGCTTACCTGCAGAAGGCCCACTTCCGGACTTGGTACACTGGCCTGGCACACATCGTGGTCCCAAACATCCTGATATAACTACATGGGCTACAAGCGTTTGCAAACAACCATTCAATATCGCAATTGCGAGCATAAACGCACGGCGGCCCCTCCGCCAACACACATCCGAAATGTCGTGATAAGAGGTACTTGGGCACTCGAGACATATACCGTCATTGACGCGTCTCTTGCCCGCACGAAAAATACACATGGACGCACGCTCGTACGCGTGAACATGCACATACGAATGGTAGGGTAAACGTTGTAAATGTGCTAACAATGGGCACCGCCAACACATCCACCGCGCAATATGAAACAATGCAAACAGCCGTACGTTGCGAAAACAATGGCGACGCGCTTCATATTCCAAGCGGTACCTAAATGAGCCACCGCCCCTGGCAGGAGACGGTGGCGTCGGGTCCGTAACACACGTACACAACTGAGGGCCATCACGTACCGGGATGACAACTCTCCAAGCCCTTTCCCAGGGTGCGGTCTGGCCAACATGTCGAAACGAATCCAGTTGTGGCGACGACGGCAAGATAGCGGTATCGTGCCCTTTGCTTTCCTGAGCAGCTAGCGGCGGTTGTTTGCTGTACGAATCCCTCCAGCCAAGTGGGCGTAGGTGGTCTAGAGCGGTGTCTCGTCCAACCCTTTCCCGTCCCCCTTCGGCGATGGGTCTACCCCGCCCCATGCCCACTCCCGTGAACCCAGAGGAAAGGCTTCGCGAGGCGTTGGGTCGCCCAAGATGGCCCACGATGGCCCCAGGAGGGCCTCAGACAGGCCGATATGACCTCCTAAATGGCCCCACATAGCCCAAGATGATTCCAGATGGTTCCCAGGATGCCCCAAGACCGCCCCAAGACGACTCCAAATGGCCATGGGACCTCCCCAAGGGGCCGCCGAGGAGCCAACATATGGAGGGTGGAGCCCTATAGCCATGTGCGGGAGCGCTTGTCTCCCCGCCCGTCGCCGCTATCCTCTCCGCCACGCTTGCCCGCTGCCTGCCAGACCTCGGCATCCCAGCCCTGCCCCCATGACCATGCGGCCCAGACCCAGGGTTGTCAGGAGCGGCGTGCCCCCTGTGTTGCTGGGAGCTGGTACCCTGCTGTCCTGACCACTTGTCGCGCTCACGGCCCCAATTGACCTGCAGCTCGTGCTTACGATCCATCTCGTATGCATCGTACCCACAGCGCTTCCAGGCGTCGAGGAAAGCGCGGCACGTGCTCTCGGGATTAAGGGCGGGGTCACTCTTCGGGCCCTTAGGAGCGGGGTGTTTCCGAGTGTAGGCGTGCCAAACGCTGCTGAATACCCCCCCGAGGGTCTTTTGGATCCTGGAGATCTTGACAGCGGGTGGCTCCGCGTGCTTGTCGATATCGACGTTGGCCAGCCGTACATGGGACCCCCCCGACAGGGTCGAGGAGCCCATCGAACACCCGCTTGGGGCCCCACTCGCGGGAGTTAGCGAGCGGAGGCTTTGCGCTGGCGGGGAGGGGAATGGCCTGGGGGGCTGGTGCGGGCGCGCTGGAGCTGCCAGTCTGCGGGTGACGGTCGCGCAACCCCGGAGGGGAGGACGAGCGGCTGTCCGTCTCTCCCGCTGGGGCGCTGTTGTCCGCTGGTTTGTGCGCTGGTGTGGGAGGGCGCTGCGGGAGGTCCTGTGCCGACACGGGCGGTGGGCTGGCACTGGCCACCCCTCGCGGCTGGCGTCGCTCTGGCGGTCCCTCGCTGAAGCGCCTGGCGTCGCTGAACGCCCCCAGCGGGCTTCTGCGCCGGCTGCTCCGGGAGAAGGAGAACGCGGGGCGCCCTCGGGTCTGGTCGCGCCGTCTGGGGAGCGACAGGGGGGAGGTGTAGGAGACGGGGGGGCGGCATCACCTCTGTCCTCATCGTAGTCAAGCTCGTCGACCTCCGCCTTGACTGTGGGTGCTGGGCTCGTTGGTGAGCAAGCCTCTTCACTCGGGGAGAGGGGGTCTGTCGCCCCGGGGCCTGACGGCGGGGGGGCGCGGTCCGCCCGGGGCGCTGGCAGCCCGCTGCCACTGCTGACTGGGGCGGGCCTGGGGGCAGCAGCCGCCGGGGAACCGTCGTGTGCCGATTCCGTAGTGCGCCCAGGGTCCGGCTGTAGCCAAGCGAGTGTGGAATCCCTTGGCGGGGTGTCGGCGTCGCGAGCGCAAGGGGCCGCGGGATCCTGCCCCGCCAAGGTAGTGATGGAGGTGGTGGCGAGAGTGCTGGCGTCCAAGCTAGCGATGAAACCCGCGAGGACGTTGAGGTCGTGTCGGAATGGGTTCTGCCCTCGGGCGGGAGCGGTACTCCGGAAGAAAGTCGACCACGACTGCTGGTGAATGGGACTGTGTAGCAAGTGCCCGACTACCCTGGCCGCGGCCCATCGCTTGCCTTCCCAGGATGCGCCGGCGGGGAGCCCCCCTTCGGGGATCTCGGGGCCATGCAACTTGCGCAGGAAGGGAACCAGCTGATGAGCCGTCCACGAGAATTCCTGGTCGTTTGGGGCGAGGATGTCGGCGCCGTGCTCCCGGACGAAGTCCGTCCATTTGTCATCCAGCGAGGGGTGGTAGTCCCTCAAGAAAACGACCAGGGTGTGCGGGGCTTCCTTCTGCTTGTTGCGACGCCCGTGCCTGGAAACGCTCCCTTCCGAGGTGGATAGGGCTGCTACGCAGCTGCGACTTCCCCTGGGGGCCTCTGGGGGAGGTGACTCTGGGAGAAGGGCAAGGATCTCGCCAACAGTGCAAATAGCCCTAGACGGCTCGATCCTCTCATGCCTCCAAAAGGCCTGGAGCCTCCGAAAAACGTTCCCGAACATCCAATATGCGTCAAACGCAATAACGGAGTTCCGTGGGTTGCCTTCTCGTGCTGTCGTTTGCGATGGGTTTGTAAGACCCAGGCCTCACGATGTTTCCGAGATCGCCCCAAGAGCTCCAAGACGGCCCGAAAACGATTCCAAAAACGCAAAACACCGCCCCGAGACCACACGAAGGCCCCATGAGGCGATTCTCTGGTTCCGAAGGGATGGGCGGTGAGCGTAATACGCGCCGCCCTCTTTATTAACCGATGGCCTCCAAGATGGCTCCAAAGACCTCCCAAATGGCTCCAAAAGGGCCCCAAGATGGTCAAATCAAGCTGCCCAGAGGCTCTCGTATCAAAAGACCCGCAGGGACGTATGTGGCTGACTCCTGGGCGTGCCCAAGCTGATCCCGATCTTCGATTTGGCGGCTGCCCTCCCTCGTTGTTTCAGTGAGTGCTCACACACCTCCCTGATCAATGCAACTCGCCTGGGCGTCGTTGCTGGATGAGCGTGTGGCAATGTTTTTTTTTACAGCCGCAGGCGGAAGCGCCAGCGGCGAGCGGTCACGGTCGGGCTGCGGCCGCGACTAACTAGCGAGCGTGTGGCAATGCGCGAAACGTCAAAAACTCGATGGCTGTGTCACGTGACCGTGTATAAGCTGACGCGACGACAATGATGACCGTCCACGTCCTCTGCTTTCATCCTCCTACCTTCATCACCCTGCTCCCCCTCTGCATCCACCCCTCCAAATTGAGAGCGGCACACCATGCATCTCGGTGCGTACTTCGTCTAGCCGCTTCGTGACCACATCGAGCCGGGACTGCGGGCAAAGCGCGCACCAAAAGAAGCACACTCGATGCGAAGCTGATCAACAAAAAACGAAAGCATACACAAACGAATATCGGCCTGAGAAAAGCGATCACGAAGGTGGCAAACATGTCGGTGGCAACAACAAGCCAACGCAAAACCAGAGCCTCTGACATCGCAGAATGGAGGTTCCCCCTCTGCAATGAGAATTGGCACCGAATGCGAAGACACTGCCCGAACGCTGAGAATACCGTCACCTCAACCTAGACATGGTGGCAGGGGGCGGGGGGGCGACTCGTCTCAGCCGACGACGGCTGCACGAGTGCGGAAAGGATGGCCAATTGAACATGACACGACGCTGTCGTCTTCAGGCACGCGGTGGGCCAGCTGTCGGAACAGGCCCGCTAATTCGGAGATGCGCCTCCCGAGGCACATACCCGGGCGTCGGGGGTCGACGCGCCCCCGGGAGCGCATGCGAATCATTCTGGCGCGAACGTCGATGCGCGACAACCGCCAGATCCCGAATTGCGCGATGCAGAAACATTGCGATTCCGAACGCTGGGCGAGGTCGCGAGAGGCCGCCCCCCTGGACGGTCCTACGAAGATCACCCCAGCTAGGTCCGGGTATGTTTCCTGGGTTCCGGCGCACACCCGTGCCTAGACCTAGACCAAGTGGCGAACAAACCGAAAACGCTCTCGAGCACATCGCAAGCCCCCCAGAGCCGTCCCCGACGCAGCCGCTGCAGCCTCCTAAGGAATGCGACGTTGCAACGTCACGCATCAGGGTAATCCCCGACGCATTGGTTGCCAGGGAAGCGTGGACATGTCGTGTTTGATCGAAAGGGACAGGCGCCACCTCTCGCATACGGCTTTGAGCCGCGCGCGCACCACGATACCCCCAGACGCCCCCGTCGCTTGTTACTGCAATCAGACCGGCACAATGGCAATCGCCCGATCTCGCGGGCGGCCCATCTCACCCTGGCTGACCCCGGGTAAGAGTCTGTTTCGGACCAATGCTGGAAGCATGGCGGCGGGCCGAAAGCCTCCCAGGTAGAAAAAACTCAGAACTGCACAGGGATCGAAACTCGTAAGGCCCCCGAAGGAGGCCGAGCAGCACGGTTTCTGGGCACGGGGTACCCTGGCCGCTCCAGAGACGCTGCGACACAACAACGAGGACAGACGACGGCCCGCCTCGGCTGCAACACTCCACGAACACCCCTCCCCACCTCCCTCTCCGCGTGGCCACGGGCGGGCCCCGGGGGCCAACTCAGCCCGCCGAGGCCGAGGTCCCCCAGAGTCCCCCGAGGGGCACACCCTCCCCGAGAGGCCCGCAGCTGGCCAACGCGGCTTCTGCCGCTGCCCCCCCCCCCCCCCCCTTCGCCCTCGTTTCCCTCCCCTCCTCGACCTCGAGGCTCCCAGAGGCTCAAAGAAGCCTCCCATGAGCCCACGAAGAAAGACCAGAATACTCATGCCGTCCCACGGATTTTAGGATCGCGCATTGTTTCAGACTTCAGCCCGTATCCCTGACGCAAGCAGGCACAGTGCACAGTTGGCCAGCAAAGCTAGAGGCAACGCACTAGCAAATGCGAAATCACACACACTCATAGGCTCGACGTCGTGCAACTCGCGTTCTCATCAGCTCCTTGCTAAAACAAAAATTCTACCCATCTGGCCACGCATCGGCCGCAACAGCGTGCGGAGTCTTGCCAGAGGCCCACGAAGTTTGGTGCTGGTGGCCAGAATACCAGCCACGCAGGGGCCTGAACGATCACTACCAGGCCCCGTGCCATGTAGCGAAACCTGGCCTAACTCTACCGGATGGCTTACTTATGATCGTCTCCGAACGCAGCGAGAGAATGCTGCGCACGCGGGCAACGCTCCTCGGAGGGGCAACGAGCAAAGATAGGGGGACCAGCTTAGGGGGAGACCATCGAGCTTGAATCGGCGAGACATCGCCGATCTGTTGGCGATGGGCTCCCATCAGGCCCCTATCGGCGATCAATGGGCAATTGGGGGTCGATGCATCATCTCCTGAGCCTATCCCCCCCCTGACGTTGCCCCTGCCGTTCGGGACGATCCGGGCACCCCCGGAAAACTCTCGGCGAGGCGCAGCTGCACGAACACACCCCGAGTCTGGAAAACCGCCTAACCTACGAAAACGGCCGAACACCTGGAACCTCGAGCCGGTTCCCCCCCTGACGTTTGCGCCTGATCCCTTAGAGGAACAACAAAAACAAACAAACATCATTTCGCAGAGGTCCGCAGGGGAAGCGCCGGATGTGCCGCCAGTGGGCCCCGCCGCCGATCCGAGGCAGCCTTGATGATGATCTGGATGTTGTCTTTTCGACAAGCCGAGAAAACCTTGTTGATGTGGATGAAAAACGCGAGGACATACGATACAAATTCTGCTGACGTAGTCGTTGGATGCCCCATCCCTACAGCAGCCGCAGGGGAGCGGAGCGCCTTGCAGCTGGCCTCGTCCCTGCACACCTCCGCGAGGGTCTTCTCCGCCCCTGCCGAGCATCCGCAGGGCAGCTGCACCAGGCAGGCGGCCGCCAGCCACGCCGCGCCGAGGCGTCTCGGGGGCGGCGGAGGACGAGGTGCGGAGAGCCACATGCGGCACCCCCCGACACCCGAGGATCGAACCGCATCGGACGCTGTCGCCCCCCCCCTGGGCTTCCGAAGGCCTCCAGGGACTCCGTGGGGGCCTGCGGACGCCCTCGGCCAGACGCCCGGCGTGGAACAAGGGGGCGCCGTCGTGGCCCTCTGCTCCCGAAGGGTGGCAACAGGAGGCCTGTCGTAAGTTTCCCGTCGCCTGCATGGTCGAGGCTCGTGGCGTCCACCCTGTCCAGTTCTTCATCCTGGATCCACTTGTAGACCTTGAACGGCAAAACGATGCGAGACACCGTATCTAATTCCCTTCTCCCGTTTCGCGTGGCGACGCCGACGACGTCAGTCGTGGCCCGTGCCCGGTGAGTGGGGCCACGACTGGTGCTGCACACATCAGCTGCAGGCAAAACTTGTACCCATAGAACATCCGCTGCGTCATAGACTTTCTGGGATGGGGCGCCACAGGGCCGAGGCGCAGTGGACATGGATACAGATCTGACCTCCAGGGGCCGGATGCTCAGCCATACCCACTTCGCCTCGGGTGTCTGGGTTGCCTTTTGACGAGGTGCCGCCTGGGCATGGCCCCGAGCTTGGAGGCAGCGCCCCCCGCCGTGGCGTCGCCTGTTCGCGGCGCCCGGAGAGGGCGGGAGGGGGGGTAGGCTGCTCAGTCGCCCCCTCGACCTCGCGATCCTTTCGGCGCGGAACGCTGCTTTGTCTTCGCGCGTCCCCCCGTGGCCCCGCCACCACGCTGTAGGCACTGAGAGGCGTGTCCTCAGGTCCCTTTGGATTAAAGGACGAGCGTGCTCTTGTAAGGAGACGCCAACAAGACGGGACAGCATGGCCCCGAGGCGGCCCAAGGGCGCTCGAAGACGCCCAAGATAGCCTCGAAACGGCCCAACAAACCCCCAATGCGCCCCAAGAGCATCCCAAGAGCTCGCCAGCAAGCATCATTATTTCTGGGTCCCCCTTGTTCCCCTTGGGTTGAAAAAGATTCCCCGTTCTCGCTTTTTCGGTCTTCCAACCGACCATGACGATCCAAGAGGCCTCCAATGGCGCTCCAAGAGGGTCCCAAGACGGAGAACCCGAACCAGCGTTTCGAGCCTTGCTCCCCCCCCCCCAAGATGGCCTCCAATTCCGCGAATGGGCGGCGGCCAAGAGCTCCCCAGAGGCCCCAACAGAGCCCAAGGGGGTCTTCAAGAACCACCCAGAGGCCACACAAGGGAAACCAAAAGGTACTGATACCGCTACTCCCCGGACCTCCCCGGGGTACGTCGTTCTGACCAGGACTTCGAGGCGAATCCAGCGGTGGCGACGACAGAGCCCCAGGATGCCAAAAAAAGGGGAAAACGAGGAAAGGGTAGAGGTATGGGTACCTTTTCCTCCTCTGACAGAGAGGCCACAAGAGTCCACGGAAGAACGACACCGTGTTTCAGGTAGGCACGTGCGCAATGCACACTGCGCAGGCCAAGCGCCCGCCTGCGTGCGGGCAGCGCGAACCCGCTGCCTCCAGGTGAGGCAAGGCGGAGGGACGCGAGGAGCAAGAGGAGAGAAGAGAGGAGGCACGGAAGGAGGGGTTCGGGCCGGGCGAAAGGGGGGGATAGCACAGGGGGGGGGGTGAGAATCAGCTCACGTAGCTCACGGAGGCGGTGGGCCCCTCGGTGGGGCCGAACCCCCTCCTTTCGTCCGGCCCGAGGGGTGGAGAGGAGCGGAGGGAGACGGAGAAGAAGGGGCCAGCGGACTGGCGAGAGCCAGAAACAACGACTCATCAGCAATACCACAAGAAGCCCCGAGTAGGCCCATAGCACACTTTCAAGAGGCCCCAGAGAACCCAAGAGAACCCAGGAGGCATCCACCACACCTCTGACCCGACCCAAACAAGGTAGCGGGTTGGGCTGGAGGCCACGAGATCCGCCACACCCCTGGTGATTCATCACACGTGTGCGCGGCGTGCTAAAAAATCAAAAACTTCTGGCACTTTCCTGAAGAACTCCTTACGGGGTTTCGGCCCAATCCGCCTGCCGCCGGGAAACCTGTCCAGACACGAACGGAACGCGCCGCTTCTCTGAGCCTGCGTGCGCACGCGCGCATGGATTTGCAGCCAACACGCATGTGTGCACATGGATGCAGTCGCTGGGCTCCCCAAACTCCCACATGGTCGCCGTTTGTAGCTCGCGTTTAATGGTGGCCTGCGGCTGCTTTGGTCAGGTGTTGCGCGCCGCCTGTGCTTGTGTGTATGCTTGTGCGTGCGTATGTGCACGTGCATGTGTGTGCGTGTGTGCGTGTCCACCAGATGAGTATTGCAAATAGGCACACTCTCTGGAACAAATGGGCAAGGCTCACGCAACTCAACTTAGAAATCCGTAACAACACCACCGTCTCCTGAGTGTACAATGTAGTATCGCTTCCGTGAATAATCCACAAGTTTATGTCGCCGACCGCAGCCGGCGCACAAGTGGGGGGAAGACACAAGCAGCAGAAATGACAGGGGTGAGACATGAGAAAGACCAAACATCATGCAATACACCATGCCGCGAGCGTAAAGGGCTTAGGATGAATCAAAGATCACAACCGCGCGAGCCTTGGCAGGTAAGCGTGCAATCCCCTGCCCGCCATGGCCCGGGGTGTTGCCGTCGGCGGGCCTTGAACCGGTGCCTTCCCGCATATGATCCGCCACCGTGCTTGCAGCACGTTGTGGAGGGCCCCAAGGCTCATGCAGCCCTGAGAAATTCAAAATTTCAGGGTTCCACCGCTTTCACAATGATTTCTGAGGATTCCTGCGGATTTCCGGGGATTCCTCGGGATTCCGCAGGATTTCAAGGATTTTCCGAAGGTTCCCCGGGATTCCGGCGGCTTGTCGCGCACGTCCTCCGGTAGCGCAGCTGGCCAAACATGGGCCCAAGAAGCACCCGAGAGTGCCGAAGATGCTTCCGACAAGGCCAAAAGGTGCTCCAATACGCCCGAGATGGCCTCAACACGGACCAGGAGGCCCCGAAGACGTCCCAGATCATTCCAGCAGGCACGAGGCGGCGGTGATTCGCCGTAGGCGTCTTCGATACACTTCAACAACTAACGTGCGTGGCAGACGGCGTTGGTGCGGGCGCATGGTGATCAGCAGGGGGAGACGTCTTCAAGGACGGTCGAACACCACAAATGCACAGAACATCATCAATAGCGTCAGACGTAGGGGCGTAGACTCGAAGAACCACCAAGACAGACAACCATCGACAAGGCGATGGACGGGCAATTTCAAGAGAACTGGGGAACGTGCTGAAACTCGGCTACTGAGCACACGAGAGACATCGCGCAAAGCATCACATTTACCCTTCGCTGCCGCAACCGTCTTCACCCTCCACACACAACACTTCACTGGTGGCGAATGCTTGATCTTGCCGCGCGGATTGTTACACGGGTGAATCTCATAGGCGGAAGCCTGGCCCAAACCACCCAGGCCCCGTCCAACGAACCCTTCGCAACAACCCGGGACTCAGGACATGGCTCTGGACCACCCACACACCTTCATCCTCCCTCTTCCCCTCTCCTCCTCGTTCTCTCCTCCCTCCTCCTTCCTCTCCTTTCTCCTCCCTCCTCTCTTTAGAAGGGCTGGTGGCAAGCATTTGGTTCATATGAGCCTCATCGCCCCCCTCGCCCGCCGTCCTCACCGATCGAAACCCGACACCCGACAGCAACCCCCAAATCGTTTCGACCCTAATTGGCGGGCCGGGCCCACCCCGCACACGAATCCGAAATCGGCGCCAGCCCCCCAAGCCAGCACCGTGTCGCACGGGGTTCGGCTGGTAAGCTCCGCTTCTCCAGGCGGTGGCGAAGTTTGTTGTTCCCCCCCTGGCGCTGCGACGCCCCCAAGGGCTCCTCGGAGACGTCTGAAGCCCAAACGACTGCCCAAGTATCTCCCATAAGCCCCCGGAACGAAGGCGACACGATGGACCACTGCAAGCTCGGTAATATTTCCCAAACAACACAACGGCCCCAAAAAAAACCGTATGACACACGACTGCTGTTGCGCCAGGCCCGCTTCGCACTGGCAGACGCGCGGGTTTGGACGCCACCCCCTTTTATGAGATCGAATCAGCCGTTGTAGGCGCGAGTGGTTCAGAACGTTTCCTCTTCCAACCCGCATTCTTTCCATTTCGAAGGGCTTATATCTGCTCCCTATGCATAGACACCTCCTTCCCCAGTCAACGAACAACCAACCAAGATCAATGAATAGCCCCCTAGCACCTTCGTCAAATTACCCAATGACGTACCCAACCCTTTCTAAGCATATAGCGATCAAGTTTAGAACCGCTAACTGTAAATAGGGGTGTTGACGGACTAGCATTGCGCTTGAGCTCCCAAACATACACCAAAACGGCACGCAGGAATGGCAAGACAGGGACGGGGACAAACGCAACGCGGAGGAGGGTTTGTGGGGGACATGCGTGTCCAGCGAGAGTAGCAGCGCCGAAAGCAACAGACGCGGGTAAAAACAACGCCATGCGTTCTGAAGCAAAACAACGCGTCGCGCTGAGCGAAGCACGCGCACGGGGTGGCATGGCGGGAGCAAGGGCATGGGGGCAAATCCCACCAGCCCTCTGGGCGACAGGTGGTCTAACGATGTCTTCCTGTCCTCTTCCGCAACCCTGTTTTCCCGTCCGGGGAAGGGTTTAGCACA